GTGCTCGGAGGGCCGGCGGCTCAGAGTGCAGCCGGAGGTGGCGGCCGCGGCGGCGGCAGCAGCAACCAGGGCTCGCCCCTCCCCCTCCACTGCACCCCACCAGGAGCCCCTTCCTTTCCAGCTCCCCGCGTCCCAGCAGGTGCAGCTCATCTGTCCCCGACTACGACCACCCATACATCTCCCTACGCTGAAAGCCCTGCACCCCCACCCCGCATCTGCCCCCTGGGTCCTGGGCACATAGGGAAACTGAGGCACAGAAAAGGGTACAGTAGTCCCGAGGTCGGGCCACGCTCTCATTGGCAGCCCCACTCAGCCTCCTTGCCACCCTCGCCCCCGTCCCGTAGGACTGCTCTGGAAGGTCAGCAGCATCTCAACTTGCTCACTCCATAACCACGCGCACATTCACCCTGGGCCAGCAGCAGCCAGCTCGCCGGCCGCAGGAGACAGCGCCGTGAGGGTGGAGGTGGGGTTGCCTAGGTCACACACAGGCTCAGGGTCCTTGGGGGAAGTGACTCTGGGCTGACAGGAGCCCAGACTATGAAAACCCCCTAGACTCCTGAGGAAGGTCAGGCAAAACCCTCCCAGCGCTCGTGTGCACTCCAACGTGCCTCCCCGCCACACATACACACACATTAAGATACCCAGAGATACTTCTATTATTCACACGTTCGATCTCCATCTCCCTCACAAGGTGAGCACACTGTACACTGTTTTGTGCTCCCCCATATACCTCATGCACATGTTTGCACACACACAATCCTACCCTCCATACAACCATTATAACTACCATTGAGTGCATTTGCCACAACTCCATAAGCAACCCCAAACCCATTTAACAGACTGAAGGAAGCTCAGAGAATTATCACTTCATGAAAATCACATAGGTTCTAAATCCATGTGTTCCCCTTCTCTGAATTCCCATCCCAACATGTACAGGTAGGGCCAATTCTGGTTTCTGAGCTGTGACTACTGTATTTTTTTATTAACACTTATTGTGTGCTTTGTACTAAGCATTGTACTAAGCACTTTATATGAATAAATTCATTTAATCTTCACAATAAGGCAGGAGACTGAGGCACAGTTACTTACCCAAGGCCACGCAGTCAATAACTGGGTATTCAGGATTGTAACAAAGGCACTCTGGGATCTGGACCACTATGCTATAATGTTTCAGATGCTGATTGGTCAGTGGGTCTCCCTGACATTATTTCTTTAACGCCTAAAATAAATACAGGAGCAGAGTGTTTGTCTTGCACAATGTTTTGGGTGGTTAAGCACGAGCCAGTTTACAGCACCTCGCTCATTTACAATTCATCCTTGGCACCTGAAGTCATTTGCATTCCTGACTCCTATGGAAGTCAAGCGATGCATTGCATTGGGCAGACTTGCTGCAAAAGACTTTGAAGTGTTAGAAAGCAAAGATGTTACTGTAAGTATTAATCTGTGCCTGGTCCAAGCCATAGTATTTTTACCACCTCATAGGTATTCAAAAGCTGGCCTATGAATAAGGAATATCAAAGAATGAATGCCTTTAGATTATCATGTTGGTGAAGAATATTAAATATACCAGGGACTGCCAGAAGAACAAACAAATCTGTGGTGGAAGAAGTATAGCCAGAGTGCTCCTTAGAAGCAAAGATGGCGAAACTTTATCTCACATTCATTAGACATGTTATCAGGAGGGACATTGTGCTTGGTAAAGTAGAGTGTCAGTGGAAAAGAGGAAGACTTTCAACAAGATGGATTGACACAGTAGGACAGCAACTGTGAGGATGGTGAAGGGCCCAATAGTGTTTTGTTTTGTTATACATAGGTCAGAGGAACTCTGGTAGCGTAGTGGTTACGAATCGGGCTGTGAGCCGCAAGGTCAGCAGTTCAAAACTACCAGCGGCTCCGCGGGAGAAAGGTGAGGCGGTCTGCTCCCGTAAAGATTTACAGCCTCGGAAACCCTGTACAGGGTCACTATGAGTGGGAACCGACTCCACGGCACACAACAACAACATACATAGGGTCACGATAAGCTGGAACCTACTCAACAGCACAACTCAACAACACCATTTTAAAGACTAAAGTCATGTTTTGTACACTCTGGAGACACTCCTAGATCCCCAGAGACAAATTTCATATATGCAGACTCATACACAGGGACGTGCAATGAGAGGGTACACATGTGTGTCCAAACCAGTTCCCACAGAGGGCCCTGAACATGCACAGGCACTTTCCCTACCCACCCACAAACACACCCATCACAGATGGGGAGCTGAGTGGGGACAGGGGGTAACTTGAGCTCCTGTCCCCCAGGAGAATCCAAGGGACT